ACCCCCGCCTCCTTCAGCCTCTCAACTGGTTGCAAACCCACTAACACACGAACAACTGGACTCCACACCTGACCCGGCTGCCTCATGGAGACGTGCCCTCCTGGTAGTTGCGGCAGGCCATTTCCAAGAGGCCAAAACGGGGGCCGAGGAGCTGACCCAGAGTGCCCGAGACTTGCAGAACAGAGAGATCAGCCGAAAGCAATGTAGGGCTTGACTGAGCCAACCAACTCCGTAGAGGAAACTGCACTACCATCCAAAAACTCTACAAGCTCCGGCGACGTGATGCTGCCTCCACTGTACTGACCGGACTGCCCATTTTAATGGTAGGTGTGGCTGCTGATGGAGAACAGATTTTGTACTTTGCTTGCCTGGCATAATTTGGCCGTGGTTCTTAGAGTTTGAGAAGGCCCCACGAGGACAATTGATTGTGGCTACAATTTCATGTCCAACTTAGCCTGAGCTATCCTGGGCATTCCTCCTCTGGCCCCCTCGCCACTGGTCAGCTATCCTTCCCCCCTGCCCAGTCAGTTTCCCTTAGTGATCACTTTGCTTAATTTGCCAGCCCAAATTGTGGCCACTAGTGAGACAGCCTGATATATAGCGTTGCCTCGAATTGCCAAATGGGTATAAAATAGCAAGCAGTCATTTTCATCATAATTATAAAGATAAGCATAGTGAAATTTTAGATTTATGTTAAGGTGGATGAAATTGGGTTTTCTTTTGAGTTTTGGAGAAGAACCTGCCAGAGTGTTCGTTTTGAGGCTGGCTGCATACCTGAATCTGCCATGACATTATCTCATGTGCCAGACCATAATATCTTAACAGCTGTTTCTCCATCTGTCTCCCTTGTTTGGTGCTTCTTTGCAAACAGACCCTGGAGGAGCGTTTTGAGGACTCTGTTCAAAGCAGGAGGAACCTTCTCAACTGCTGAAAACGTCTCTCTAACTTAAAGACAGCCACGTTTAGAGGATCTCTGGCGGCCCTTCAAGCAGCTGATTTCAGAAACTGGTGGCTATGCTGGGTGACATCGTGGAGAAGACCGCCTGTTGCTTTGTACAGTCCTTGTGATCTTCGGTGTTCCAGGGATCTTGACCAACACAGGCAAGTCTTCATTCCATGGTGGGACTTTCACCTTGAATCCACCTTGAATCCACCTTGAATCCACCATGGGTTCATGCAAGGTGTGTTTGAATAGCTCTGTGGGCATGAAACCCACCCTTCTTTCATGGTCTTCTCTCCCTTCTTTCTTCCTCAGGTTTGGATGGAAAGGCTTTCGTGTTCTCCAAGCTTTCTGCTAACTCCCACGTTCTCCTGAAGCCCAACCTAGATCAAGGCTTGCGACAGTTGACCCTTTGTCTCCGCTTCTTCACCGACTTGACCCAGTTGCCTATGGCCTCAAACCCGTTGCTGGATTGGACCTTGCTGCAGTTTCAAATCCAAGGTGACCTTCTGACTGAGTCCCTATGAAGCCTTCAGTCCAAAGAGGGAAGGGACAGTAGCAGTTTCAACAATATATCTAACAGCAAACACTGGCAAGGCAAAAGGGATTGCTTGTATTTTTCAAGTACTTCTTTGCAAAGATGCATGCCTGTTATTTTTTCTACTGAAAACAGATTAATCTTTTTAACCAGTATTATGCAGGAAAAAGTACCTTGTTATATTCCCACCCCCATCCTTTACTTTCAATGCAATAAAAAAAAATATAGGTTATCATTATGAGGAAATTACGAGCCAGATTTGAATTTTTAATCCTTATCTTGAACTAGGAAGGTTGTTGAGCTTCGCTGTTATGTGGTCTCTATTAGGGCCAGGTTTTTGTTTTAGTGTAAATCTTTTTTCCATAGAGATCTCTAATCCTTGTGACTTTTCATACTTCAATTCATAGGGAACTTTCTGAATTGTGTCTTTGTGTGGGTTTAAAATCCTGCCTATTTTGATCAGTAATATTGTAATCTGGGGTGAAGGGACAGATAATTGAGTATTTCTTGTCGAAAGAGAGATTTTCTGTCCTTTCAATTTCTAAGGCTATGCCTCAGAAAAATGGAGAACTCTTCATTCTTTTTCTGTCCACTGAGAAATTCTGTAAGAAAGAAATTATATACCTCTGGTGTTGTGTGGATGGCCATTCAGAGATATGTGTCTTCTAAACAAATAAAAAAATAGAACAACCTCACTGGAAAATGCACTTCTGTCCTACAAGATCTTCTATAATAAAACCTGCTGTGTTTATGATTTCCTTGTGTTTTCATTTTGTTTCCATTGGGTTGGTATTTCAAATAATATTTTATTAGAAATATTCTCATGTTGACCCAAAAGGGGACACTGGAGGTATGATTGGAGAGTCTACGTGTTTGTACAGAATTTGGCATCACAAAGCATTTCCTCACTTCCCCTTGATAGGAAGGGTGGATTCCCTTCTCCCTCCTTTTATTAAATCTAGAGGTCAACTGTGACTCCAAACAGTTGTAGGCAGCTTACAGTTTCAAAAGTATTTTAAGTGTTTGGAAAAAAAACCCTACAAAACACATATGTACATCACTTTAAAAAGGAGATCCAAGGAGCTCAACAATCTTGCCACCCATGTAGGTGAGAAAGTTCCCTCATTCAGAATAACAGTTGGAAGGGATTTGGGAGGTCTTCTAGCCTAACCCCCCCCCCCAATTTTGTGGTTGAGTCTTAAATCTTTGCGGTTTGGAAGATGATGAGGAAGAAGAGGACTTGCTGGATACCTATGCATCACCCTCAAAAGTAAGCGGGTCAAGGTGAGGTCGTGTATCTCCTTCAGGGTGACTTGTAAGAGGAGATCCCTTTGGGGGCAAAAGGGCCCAAGAATGACACAAAACCCTATTTTTATGGCTCAGCAACTGAAATCTTGGGATAGACTGCCTCTCAAACTGGAGGTTCTGTTCTAATGATTGCAGCGAAGGTAAGCCCTTCTGGAAATGGCCTCTTGAGTTTGATAAAGCTTGTTCTGTGTTTCCCGTAGCCTCTTCCAGAAACAGAAATTCAGCGACATTTAACTGGCATGGGGAAAGTGAGGTGGCTTGATCAGTGCTGCAGAAAAGTCATTTTGTTTTTCTGCTGTTCATCTATATATATATAAAAGCAAAATACTCCTCGCGCATCATCACAAAAACTCCAGAACCGTAAAACTTACAAACTTGAAATTTGTCACGTATGTTCCTCTTGGCTTCTAGGGGCTTGTGCTAAGAAAGGATTTTTTGAAATGACCATCAGAGCATTTAGTATTTCCTGTGTTATTACTACTATTAACCCACTCTGGTACTGAGTTCTACTCCCCCTCCCCACCTGAAAAGAAATCTCTTCCAAATGCAAAACAGGAGTTTTCACAGCAGCAACCAGCTTTGAGCCCACTTCAAAACGCACTGACGGCGTCTCCTCGAATGGTGATGCAATATTTGCAATCAAATTGCCCAGCTTGGAGCTGAAACCAACAGCCCAACTACCCACCAGAGCTGCTAATATTCAAACACATTTCATCTGTGAAGTTGGTTTTTCCCCATTTTATGATCTTTCCTGCCCTGTTAAGTGGTTTTTCCATGGACCAGAGGGGGGCCTGGTTTCACATGCTGCCTGCATCTCGCATGTGGGGCTTCACTTGTTCGCACAATCTGGTTTGTGACATGCTATGGATCAGTACCGGTCAATGAACCAGGGGTTTGGGACCCCTGAGGTGAAGCACTATGAGGTGAAATATAAGTCTACGTGCTTTTGCTGTTGCTATTGGTAATTCAGTCCCTGCTAAATATCAAGTTGAAAGACAAAGAGAAACTAGGAGTTTAGTAATTTGCAAACCCAGGTAGGGAGTTGTACAGCAAGGCATACACAAAACACCTTGGTGATTGTTGCAGGTGTCTAACCACCTTCCATACAACTGTAGGGCATTTTGATGAAAACATCACTCAAGTGAACCAAGGGGAAAAGAAAAAAATTTAATTTTCTGAACTTTTAGCAGAAACTTTTGGACAGGAAAACCCCCCACACCAATGTGTTTACCTCACCCTTAAACTCGTGCACAAAATGCTTGCAAGATGGACATGGTTTGAAGAGTGTGCACGGGAAGTTTGTGGACTCAAAAACAATAAAAGCGTAAATGCAACCAAAGCTGAAAATGTTTATTAAACAAAGCATAGCAAAAATAATAATAACTTTAATTTCAAAGCATATCATAGGAAGAAATATCATTTAACAAAATTAAGTAATAAGTCTTTCTACCTAGTTTTTCTACCACAATTCCTCTCCAGGCTATGCCCAATTTTCCTGAGATATAGTAACAGCATGATATGTTTCCTTAAAGCCAGCCCCTTTACCTGCAATTTCTGCACATGAATATGTAAAATACACACCAACATAAAGTAAACATGACTACAATTGGAAGTCACCAAATGCAACTCTAGGATGGATTTCATTCTTGGATCCCACCATATCCCACCATAGATGAATGATGGCTTCTCTTCCATGTCATGAATTCCTCAAACTAAGTTGGCTTTTAAAATCACGTCTTCATCCATTTCAGATTGTTTCTTTAGCGTCGTATATAAGTGTAATTCCTGATTTTCCCATATAGTTGAGCTGCCGAAGAAGTATTAAAAGCCAAAGTGCATTGCCATTAAGCTGCTTCCACCCCAGCATTTCAGATCCACATGGGGTCTCTTCATAATAAAGTGCAATAGGACCATCCTTCCCCCCAAGGCACTTCCTTTGCCAGCTAGAAAAGACACAAAAATGGACCGTTTGTTATTTGGTGATGTCTGGAACTCTGTGGAAAATCTGTTCCTTTATCCTAATCCCTGCAACTCGGAATGGGATAATTTGCTGTGGCCAACTTGCTGTTAACAGTTGTGGCCAACTGATGATGTTACCTAGTTTAGATCATGAAAGGTCTGCAAGAAAACAACCAAGCTCCACAAACCTCATTCCCTTCTAGCACTGATGATGTTATTTAGTAGGATCGTGGAACGTTTGCAAGAAAACAAGTCAGCTCAGAGAGGTCCTCATTTTAACGACCTCGGAAGGATGCAAGGCTTATTCAACCTTGAGCTGGTCAAGATCGAACTCTTGACAGAGTGGGCAGAGTCAACTTACAGCAGCAATAGCACTTGGACTTATATGCCGCTTGACAATCCCGGCAGCCGGCAGTGGCCTGGAGTAGCCTGCATTCTAACCACTGTACCACCACGGTTTCTCTGACCCAGCAAAAATGCAACTTTGCCATTCTTTTCCCTCACCGGCACATCCCAGGGTTCAACGAAAGAACCATCTCGGTTCCGACAGCAATTCATGGAAGCGTAACATCTCGCCTTTTCTGCAAGCCGATCCCAGCCTTTTGCCTCTCCGAAGTTTGCAGTTGGATCTGCTGGATCAAGGATCACTGGCCTGAATTGCAATAAAGGAAGTTAGAATCATATGTTGCAGGCTGGAGCAGATGAGTTCAGTTCTCTTGAAATTTCCCACGTCTGTTAACAGATTTAGATTTTTCACATGAAAGAAGAGCTGCCAACTGGAGCAGGCCAGCTGAGCAATGGGACAACTCTCTGCGGCCAACAATTCAATGTAATTATTTAAAATAATTTTACAAATCATTCTATAATTTTTGTCATTTACATTTTGTTTTATCCTTCCTTTTGCATCCTTTAACAATTCTGTTCTCTCATTTCTTTGATCACCCAACACATCCAAGATCAGTCAAATCCTTACTGGCAGTCTCCTTAGAACTACTAACCTTAGTTATTTCGTGGCTTAACTTGCTGTGTGAACCCAACCAGTCTGATAACATGTATTTGAGAGTATTACGTGGGATTAGAAAATCTACTTGCTTGAGCATTTTGTGCCAACCCAGCCAAAAGCTTATTGAAACCAGGCATTTTCTAGTTCTTAGAAAATATTGTTCTCAGCTTTCCTAGTGTAAGTACTTTCCATTAACTTCAGTATTTGGTGGATCTACCATTTCACAACTACACCAATAGTAGGACTATTGCAAAAATAGCTAGGTTGCAAAAATTCAGATAGATGGCAGCAAAGAGTGGTGTGTCTTCTAGTGACCACCAGATTCATAAATGGTCTTCCTAGGTCAAATGAAAGTCAAGCTAGAACTTCAGGATTAATTTCGCAAGGGAAGAAGAGAAGTTGGACACACACACACACACACATCATATTCTTTGTTTCACAGCTGTTTTGCTCTCGCCACTCCAAAAAGGAAGAAACATCGATGCATAAGGCAACCAAAAGGTAGCAACAGCTCAAAAGGTGTTAGCATTTTACTCCAATTTGAAACTCGCTGGGAGCTGTTGTTGCAGGACTTTCTCCACTATGACAAATCTCATTACTGATTTTTGAAAAACAACTGCCTTGGAATCCAAGGTGGGAGACTGACCTCTTTTTACAGAGTTGCTCCTGTAAATACTGCTTGATGATCTCATTGTGAAAATCATAGTATTCCGTCCAATAGATAAGAATCTCCTTATAGTTCTCAATGAGCCACAACACTGTCCGGAAACCCTCGGCCATGTTGAACTGGGTTTGTCCACTTCCTTGCTCCCATGCGTAGACCGTTAGTAGCTCAAGGGCATACTTTGGGGGGATTGAGTTTTCCTTCACCTGGGTTACACAGAAAAGCAGTTCAAATAAAACTCACTGCACTATTTGAATGAGGAAGCCTGACTAAAGACAATCTACCCTTGACTACCTTGTAAATAATTAGTCCCATTTTAAGGCAGATACCCTGAAACAGATTTCATTTATTTTAACTTATCAACTGCAGTGATTCACTTAACAACTGTGGCAAGGAATGTTGCTTAACACTTGCCTCACTTAACAAGGAAAAATTTGGGCTTAATTGTGGTCGTAATTCAAGGATTACCTGTATAGTATCCCAAAGAACTGCAGAAAAAACAATGGCTAACAACCTGCCTTCCATGGAGGACTTGTATATTGCACGAGTTAAAAAGAGGGCTGTGAAAATATCTACAGACCCCTCACATCCCGGACATAAACTGTTTCAACTCCTTCCCTCAAAACGATGCTATAGAGCCCTGCACACTAGAACAACTAGACACAAGGTGAGTTTTCCCCCGAATGCCATCGCTCTGCTAAACAAATAATTCCCTCAACACTGTCCAACTATTTACTAATTCTGCATTACTATTACTATTAATCTTCTCATCGTTTCTATCACCCATCCCTTCCCACTTGTGACTGTATGACTGTAACTTTGTTGCTTATATCCTTACGATTTATATTGACTGTTTCCTACTATGATTTGATGGCTTATTTGTATCCTATGACTATTTTTAAGTGTTGTACCTGATGATTCTCGACTGTGACGAATGTCTCTTTTCTATTATGTACACTGAGAGCATTTGCACCAAGACAAATTCCTTGTGTGTCCAATCCCACTTGGCCAATAAAGCATTCTATTCTATTCTATTCTATTCTATTCTATTCTATTCTATTCTATTCTATTCCATTCCATTCTATTCTACTCTACTCTACTCTACTCTACTCTACTCTACTCTATTCAAAGCATTAAGATGGGGCTGGGAGGGTTTCCTAAGAAAGACTGACTTCAACAACCCTCCTACAAACTCTTAGTCGTGGGAAAACCATAAATTGGGACCCTGAATCAATTCTCCAGACAACAGACCTCTTTGTACCAGTGTTTCACCAGGCGGATGAGGTTCTTCAGCTTGGTGGTACGGTCCACTATGAAATCCTTCTGCAGCTCTGTGAAGCAGGAAGAGAACTCGCCACATTTGCCTGTGAGTATCAGATCGACGTATATCTGAGGGTCAGGCCTGGAGTGTTGATATTGGCCTGTCAATAGAAAATGCAACTAGGCCTCAAAAGCCCTTTTTAAAATTCTCCACCAACTTTGTAAACTCAGAATCTTACCCAATTTCTTCAGTGGAACAAGGAACCTTCAACTGCTTCAGGTCTAACTATGAGCTCCTTTGCTCCTGAAGTAAGCCTGGGAAAGAGACACCCTCCTGAATCTCTGCTGGGACTGCGGGGAAACTGAGGAAGCCAGGTGGGTGCAAAGCAGACCAACACTCACACCCCCTTAAAATAGGTCTAAGGCCAGCCCTTTCCACCCAGAAAAACCTCGCCCATGTTCTCCCTTCCTTGGAAATGATGGCAGGAAGAGAATTTTTCCGCTTGCTCTTCAGTTGCCTGTTCATTTGTCAGAATTTCTGAATTGCTTCCACAACTTACTGACATTCAGTTTAGAGCAGTGGTCACCAACCTTTTCAGCTTGGGGGCCCAGCCCAGCACAGGGGGGGCAGGGGGGGAATGTGTGAGTGGTAGGTGCTCTATTTCTCTATTTCTGTGAGCGGCGGGGGCACACACCCTCTGCTCTCACGAGGGGAGGTTTGCGTGCAAGTGAAGGGGTCTTGCACTCATACGCAAAACTCTACTCCTGCAAATGGAAGGTACTTTCACTTGCACGCGAAGCTGCATTCGTGAAAATGGAGCTTTGTGTGTGTGAGCACAAGTGCCCTCCACTTTGGCGAGAAGAGCTTCACACATGCTCTTCACCATCATGATTAGGAGACTGGAGACTAAGGCATATGAAGAATGGTTGCAGGAACTGGGCCTGGCTAGTCTAGGGAAGAGAAGGACCAGGAGAGACAGGATAGCAGCCTTCCAATATTTGAGGGGCTGCCCCAGAGGGAGGAGGAAGGGGTCAAGCTATTTTCCAAGGCACCTGAAAGCCAGACAAGGAATAAGGGATGGAAACTGAACAAGGAGAGATTCAACCTGGAAATAAGGAGAAACTTTCTGACAGTGAGAACAATCAACCCATGGAATAGAAGTTGCCTTTGGAAGTTGTGGGAGCTTCATCCCTGGAAGCTTTCAAGAAGAGATTGGACTGCCATCTGTCAGAAATGGTGTAAGGTCTCCCGCTTGGGCGGGGGGGTTGGACTCGATGACCTACAAAGTCCCTTCCAACTCTGATTATCTGTTAAATCTGTTAAATCTCTCCCACAGCTCAGTTTCGAACAGGTTGTGGCCCTGGGATTAGAGGCCCTGTTTTAGAAGACAAACAGGTCTCCTATGGCTCTGGTGGTCCCTGCCCACCCCTAGCTGGGGAGGGGCGGAAAGGTTTTTTTGCCCCTTGCTCAGGAAGAAAACCCACCTAGGGCATTGTAGGCCGGCAGGACATCAAACTCAATGGAATCATCTGACTCTTTTGAATGTAACTTGAATTGGAGCACCCGAGGGTTGGGCCACTTGAACTTCTCAAAGAAAACTTCCAGATTCAGCAACTCCTGGCATTCATTGAGCCGCCTTTCAATCTCCACAATGACCATCTTCCGGGTTTTTTTCTGATCGGTGTAACTTTTGAAGATGTTCAAGAACAGCACCAGGTCAGCATCTGACCCATTTTTCATGGATGTGCCTTTTCCCAGTGATCCTCCCTGAGAAAAAGGGAAAAGGGAGGGTTTCAAGTAGTGATACTCCTGGCTGTTTGCACCAAGGTGCTGTTGCCATCACCTGGTTGGTGCTGTTGCCATCACCTGGTTGCCATTATGAGGAGGAGGAAGGAAGTAACAATTTGGTTTGTGCCTAGCACACCACCAAGAACACGTTTCCTGATAATATATTTTTTTCCCCAGGGCTCTTGGCATCAGGGTCTTCCTTGCCCACTGGATAATCCAGTTTTCAACCTCCTCAGATTGTTCTATTTCTGGGATGGGAGAAATCCTAGGGTTGGTTGCAGGACAAAGAAGCTGCAAAAAGGGTTTAAAAGAAACCAAATCTCTTCTATGTTGTTGTGACACCCCCTCTCCAAGTGGGATGAGGTCGCCAGGAACTGAACTCATCACAAGGATGCTCACACTGACCAAAGAAATCTCCCCTTTGCATAGGAAATCAGTTACATGTAGTCAAACATGTTACATTTATGCACCCCATAATATCACACATGTTCATTAAAATGAGGTCTGACGTCAGAAGGGGCACCATTGTAAGGAAAAAAGATTGTTTGGAGTTCACAAAAGAGATTAAACCAGACCCCAATTTGTACTAACAAATGTTTTGTTATCTGGAGCTAGTCTCCAGCTTGTTAAAAGTTTGTTTTACCAATGGCCAACTAGCAGAAACAGAAGTTAGAAATTTGGAAGCATAAAAGAACAATTAATTACATAAGAAAGGCAGGCTAAAATAGATAAGGAAATACTGTTATTATTATGTGATCATTATTAATGCTATGAATATTACTGTTATTAACTATTGACTATTTCTCAAAATCCACTGTACTCAGACTGACACCCTGTTTATGTAGACAATTATTATTTTTAAAAATATTTGATAAAAACTTATTTTAAACTGGGGGAGGGGAGGGGGGGAGAAAGGAATGTTAAAAGCTAATGAACCTGAACGCCAATTTTAAAAGAGAGAAAACAAATCAAATTAAAATACGAAGTATCTACGTGGGTTAACGAACTACAAAACCCATGTCGTTTGCCCCTCAGGCAACAGAATATTATTGCAAGAGCCAATAAAGCTGCAAGGCAGGACAGCTTGCCTAGTGGTGGTGGGGAAAGCCCTTCCCAACACCGTCTCCCTTCCCCGGGCAGAGTCTCTCCCCCCCACACCCCAGCTCCATCCCGGGATCCTGCCTGTTGCCCGCCCGTCCTCCGCTCACCTTCACCACCTTCAGCACTTTAATCCCACGCCAGGACGCATCCTGGAAGCAGCGCCTCTTGAGAAAGTCGCAGATGCAGTCGATGGCTCGGCGCGCCTGTTGGAGAAACTCCTTGTTGGGCTGCAGGTAGTCACGGTGGAAGTTGTCCAGGCCCCATGATCCGAAGTGGGCGAGGGAGGCCATGACCAGGCAGCGGAGTGGATTTCCAACGGAACCCTCTGGCTAAAGCCCAGCGGCTTCTGTGGCTTCGTTTCGCTTCCTTAGGACCAGTTTCGTTTCCCTACCAGGAAACAGAGGGAGGGTGGAGCACTTGGAAGGCCGAGAGGCGGCTGAAAACGGGGCGGCTGGAGGAGGCACGGAAACCGGCTGAAGGAAATTAGATTATCAGAGTTGGAAGGGACCTTGTAGGTCATCTCGTCCAACCACCCCCAAGCAGGAGACCCTACACCATTCCTGACAAATGGCAGGACTACGGGAGCAAATGGAGGTAGATTAAAAGGCTTAGTCTCAGGAAAAGGCAACATCCAAGGCAGGGGAGGATTCAAAACTTTTAATGACTGGTTCTGTGAGCGTGGCTTAGTTGGTGGGCATGGCTTGGTGGTCATGTTATCGGCTGGGTGTGGCCAACTCAATATCACTCACATCGAGGCACGCCTCTCATGACTGTGGGGATGCTGCAACAGTCGTAAGTGTGAAAAATGGTCCTAAGTCACTTTTTTCAGTGCCATTGTAACTTTGAATGGTCACTCCACACAAGTAAAGTATTAGCAAAGGAGGGGGAAAAAACTGCAGAGACGTTCCTGAGACAGGAAGTCTAGTCCTGCCAAGAATGTAATAAGGGTTAACGGAGAGGCAGTTTCTGTAAGCAACACCAGAATGTTTCCTTCCTGCCTTCCTTACAGGATTAGCCCAGTAATTTCTTCTAACAACCGGTTCTCTGAAGTGCTTAGAATGTTAACAACCGGTTCTAGCGAATAGGGGCAAACCGGTAGAATCCCACCCCTGAACCTATGGCACGCAGAGCCACTTCTGCCAGCATGCAAGAGGTCGCTCAGAAGAGCCCCACTGGCCATGTGCATGCGCGCGCCTCCTGCCAGCCAGCTTATTGTCGGCTATCTGCTGCGGCATGCACGGGAGGAGACGCGTGCATGGGAGATGCACATGCATGCACAGAGGCATGCGGTGTGCAGGGGAGATCATGCACACATGCTCGGGGGGGGAATCGCGTGTGCATTGCATCACGGGGGGAAGGCACGCCCGCGAGCGCACACTTTTGGCACGCGAAAAGGTTAGCTATCGAAGGACAGAGATGGAAGGGACTTCGGAGGTCATCTAGTCCAACCCCCTGCTGGAGCAGGAGAGTCTATTCCAAAGATCAGCCTCTACCAAGGATCGAACTCACAGCTTCCCTGATTGGGAGGCGAGAGGTCCACCTTGAGGCCACCGGAGTCACCTGTCAAGCATCTGAAGGTAAATCGCGTGACCCTTGGGGGATTGCTGCAGGGGTCGTAAGTGTGGGAAACGGTTGTAAGTCACGTTCTACAGTGCTGTTGAAACTTTGAACGGTCACTAAGTGAGCTGTTGTAAGTCGAGGACTACCCATAGTAGTGCCCAGCATGTATAAAAGTGTATATATAAAAAAGAAAATTCCTAGCGTGAGTGACTACTAGATGGCAGCAGCGAGATGCAAACGCTTCTAATGCTTATTCTGAATTACTGGTATCTTTATATAGAGAGCAAAGAGACCCTGGCTTGAAAGACACAGATACAGATTAACAGAGTTGGGAGGGACCTTGTAGGTCATCTAGTCCAACCCCACCTCCTCCGCCCAAGCAGCAGACCCTACACCATTTCTGGCAAACGGCAGTCCCGTCTCTTCTTGAAAGCCTCCAGGGATGACGCTCCCACAGCTTCTAAAGGCAACTTCTGTTCCGTTGGTGGATGGTTCTCCCTGTCTCCTTATTTCCAGGTTGAATCTCTCCTTGTTCAGTTGGTGACTGCTTTGTTTTGGTAGATGTCCTTTTAATAGTAAACATGATTGAAAGGGACCTTGGAGGTCTTCTAGTCCAGCCCCTTGCTCAAGCAGCCGTCTCTACACCTTTTCAGACAAGTGGCAGTCCACTCTCTTCTCAAAAACCTCCAGTGGTGGAGCACGCAAGTTCTGGTGGCAAGCTGTTCCCCTGGTTAATTGTCCTCAAAGTTAGGAATTTTCTCCTTAATTCCAGATTGCTTCTCTACCATCCATTGTTTCCTGTCTGGCCTTCTGGTGCTTTGGAGAATAACTTGACCCCCTCTTCTTTTGTGGCAGCCCCTCAAATATTGGAAAACTCCTATCCTGTCGTCCCCCCCGGTCCTTCTTTTCTCTGGACTGGCCCAACCCAAATCCTGCAGCCGTTCTTCATATGTTTTAGACTCCAGGCCTTTGATCCTCTTCGTTGCTCTTCTCTGCCCTTTTTCCAAAGTCTTTTTTCTTTTTCTTTTTTTTTGTAGTGGGGTGACCAAAATTGGTTGCAGGATCCATCCAGGTGTGGGAACGCCACAACCAGTTTTTTTACTCTACCATTTGCTTATGCAAGATAAGCAACCGCAGCACATCAAAATTTTGGTCAAGTTTAGGAGTTAGGGGCTTTTTTGTTGTTGTTGTCAAAACAGGCCGAAGTTTCATGCTGCAACCTGGAGTCCAGAGCCGAAGAAGCTTCTTGGATAAGAAGCGAAACGTCTTCAAAGAAAAAAAACAAACAAGAAAGTTCAGTTGCCTCTTGAAAAAAAAAAAAAAGCACCTTTGGGACAACCAGGACCTGGATGACTGAAGAATCTCTGCAGTCATTTAATTGCAACCTGTGTTGAACAGAAAAAAGCAATTGAAAATTAGCTCAGCCCATCATACCCTTTGAGAGCAGAGAGTTAAAATTTCCAGCTTTATTAGGATTTTAAGTGGACGCAGATAAATCGCAAACTCCAGCAAGAAATGCCCCGTATTATTGCCGTCCGGTTCCCTCCCACAGCAACAAAGTTAACTCTTCCTTACCCGTCTAGCTTTGAGTGACAGGGCGACAAAGAGACCTTTATGACATCCTCAGGTGATGCTGAGGACCACAGCACAAAAGCCATGTCACATCGAAGCCCTGGACTCCGGACTTGACTTTGCCACTTCAGATCAGCAGCGTGCTTTAATCTCCGAGCAATTTAAGATAACAGAGATAAGGGTTAATAATAATAAACAAGATAAGGGCTCGGTGCGAGCTTCCTTGGGCTTTTGCAGGACATCTGGAAGTAACCTCTGGCCTGCTGGGCATCCCTTCTCCATTGATGCGGAGACCGTGGCCACCAAAGGGACAGAGGTGCCTTGGTAATAAGGCCACTCTTGGAATCCTGCATCCAGTTCTGGTCATCACAATAGAAGTAAGATGTTGAGACTCTAGAAAGAGTGCAGAGAAGAGCAACCAGGAGGAGGAGGGGACTGGAGGCTAAAACATACGAAGAACGGTTGCAGGAACTGGGTATGTCTAGTTTAATGAAAAGAAGGATTAGGGGAGACGTGATAACAGTCTTCCAATATTTGAGGGGCTGACCCAAAGAAGAAGAGGGGGTCAAGCTGTTCTGCAAAGCACCTGAAAGGCAGGACAACCACAACAATACAAGAGCACACAATAGACACAAACTCAAGGCTAATCGCACCAAACTTGATTGCAGGAAATACGACTTCAGCAACAGAGAGGTCAATATCTGGAATGCTCTACCTGACTCTGTGGTCTCTTCCCCAAACCCCAAAAACATTAACCTTAGACTGTCTAATATTGACCTCACCCCTTTCCTAAGAGGTCTGCATAAGCGCACCAACGTCCTTATCCTATTGTTTCTTTTTTATTTTTCTTATATGTATTCATGTATTCATAACTATGTTTTTACTTATACCTATTATCTTGTAAGCAATTGACAAACCAAATAAAAATAAAATAAATAAAAAGAAGCAAAGGATGGAAATTAATCAAGGAGAGAAGCAACCTAGAAATTAAAGAGAAATTTCCTAACAGTAAGAACAATTAACCAGTGGAACAACTTGCCACCAGAAAATGTGAATGCTCCAACACTGGAAGTTTTTAAGAAGAGATTGGACAGCCATTTGTCTGAAAGGGAATAGGCTTTCCTGCTAGGCCAAGGGGTTGGGCTAGATGACCTCCAAGGTCCCTTCCAACTCTGTTTACTGTTAAAGGGACCTTGGCCAAAACAAAGCAGAGACCATTACCTGTTGGTGTTGCAGGTTCACAGGCCAATTCTATAAACTCTCCTTGCTCTGTAAAGATGCCAGTAATTCAGAGAAAGAGAGAAAGAAATTATTATCATTAGATGTTCTTGCTATTTTTAAGGCAGGATTTGCCCTCCCTGTCAATTCCCCCTTTTTCCCCCCACAATAAATACGTTTTGTTCAGATTAATAAAATTAAGCCAAAAATGTGATTGGCTGGTTGGTGATCCAGCCGTCTCCCCGATGAAACCTCATCCAATCTGGGTTGTAAGCCCTGATTCACTGTTTAGTATTGGGGGGAAACATCCGGCTGTAGTTTCTTTATGATTAACCAAATCATGGATTAAGACACTGTGGGAAAACAGTATAAGTGAACTAAATTCCTATTGTGGAAGAATTATAAAGATAATACTCTAGAGATAATCCACCATCCCGCCTACGCCAATTTTGGGCTGTTTGGCATGGGAAGAATTAATCTGCTTCTTCTTAATTATCCAAAGAGTGCAGAGAATTTTATACAGTACAAGCTGGATAGTCTAAAACCTTAATTCTTGCTGGAGACATGCGCCACTAAAATCTGAAATCATATAAGCCGAGTAATTTCCAACATCAAGAGCCAGTTGTTTTCAGCCTACAAGGAAATGCTGAGAGGGATATTTTGAGTAAGGACCCCACAAATATTTTTTTACAAAATCCTCCAGCTTCTTGGATGAGAAGTGAAATGTCTTCAAAGAAAAAAAAACCAAAAACAGAAAGTCCAGTTGCCTCTTGAAAAAGCACCTTTTGGACAACCAGGATATGGCGGAGAATCTCCATAAATATTGAAATAAAGGTTGGTTGGTTGATTTGGGCTGAGTGCATATCGGGTGAACAGCTCACAGTGGCTTAACATCATGCACTTTGCACTTTTTCCAAAGTCCCAACATCTTTTCGCATCTTTTCCAACTTGCTTTGATTTCTGCAGAGAAGAAAGTGGCACATAAGCCCCTCTCCTTCCCACCCCAGCTTGGTTTTCCCGAGAGCATTCAAGTGCCTCGAGGAAGCTGCCCTGCAGCCCTCTAACCCACCCACCCTCCCCCTTAAGTGGCAGAGAGAGAAAAAAGGAGGCCTCTGTGGATTTTGCCACTGAACACAATTGGACAAAAGAGATCAAGGTACTTCATTAGCTGAAACCCACCCACCCCCAGCTGCTTACCCCCCTCCCCCCACTCCTTGCAACTCTATAGGTCAGCCTGGGTGGTACCACTCTAGTGTGATCAACCCCCGCTTTGTCACGAGCCAGGAAAGATGTGGCCGTGGGGCACCCTGCAGGGGGATTAAATCTGACCCCACCACCCTTCATCCTCCCGCGTAAGAGATCCTACGGCTTGCTTATCCTCGTGGTCTCTCCTGCAAGGAGCCCTTTGTTAGGGCTTATCGGCATTCCTAATAAAGGAGAATATTTGTAGCTCAGGGTTGATGTGAGGGGTGCGTGGTGCTGCCTGGGCTGGGTGGTTTTCTTGCAGACGTTTCATGGCCCAACTAGGGAACATCATCAGTGCTAGAAGGGAATGGGGTTTGCAGGGAGAGGAGGAGGAGGAGGAAGACAAAGAAGAAGAGGAGGAGGAGGAGGAAAACTATGGGGTCCTTGGTGCTCTCTGAGCTTGCTGGCTTTCTTGCAGACGTTTCATGACCCAGCTATGGAACATCATCAGTGCTAGAAGGGTTGTGGACAAGAGGAAGAGGAGGACTGTGGGGTCCTTGGTGCTCTCTGACTCTGCTGGTTTTCTTGCAGACGTCTCATGACCCAACTAGGGAACACCATCAGTGCTGCTGCTGCTGCTGTTAACCTAATTTGGGTCATGAAACATCTACAAGAAAAACCAGCAAGCTCAGAGACCACCAAGGAGCCGTCTTATCAACAGTGTCTCAAATCTCTTCCTCCTCTCTCGGAGCGAGTTCCTTTTCTTCCGATGACACGGCTTTGAAAAGGGGGAACCCTCTTCTAAAGCCCCCCCCCCCCCTGTCCCCCCGTAAACCCCCCCCCCCCCCCCGGTGTCATAGTGCTGGTTTTTTCTTGGAAAATGTTTCGCTTCTCATCCAAGAAGCGTCTTCCAAGAAAAATCAGAATGTCCAGTGGCCTCTTGAAAAAAAAAAAATCACCTTTGGGACAACCGCAACCTGCATGATTGAGACTCTCCGTAGAGATTTAAGGAGGAGCTTCGTCAGTAAAACAAGAGGTGCAGCTCACTCAAGGCACAAATCAGCTACATTGGGAAGGAACACCTGAGTTGCCCCCCCCCTCTCCCCCACCCCTTAGGAAAACTGCCTGGAAGGGAGGAGGAAGGGCTGAGAATACAGCCGGTCCCTGTTTACAACAGCAATGGCCACAACGATGCAAAACAAAGAAACGAACGCCGCCTTTATTCTTTGAGAATCATCCAAGGTTTCCACATTCCCCTCTAGCCAACACAATCGTTTCGGTGCTGATACATTATCAGCTATTATCTTCCAAGATGCCACGTACTCAACCTGCTGAACACAGAGCAACGTTGTCAGACAGCAGCAGAAGTCCCTACCACGAGAACAAACCCAACAGCAAATAAATCAAACAGCCTCCTGGCTCAGAGGAGGTACGTCCTGGTTTATCTGCATTGCATCACCCTGACAAGAGCATGTAAAGCAGAGTTGCACACCTCTGGGCCACAAACCAGATTTGCACACTGTGAGAGGGATCTTGGAGTCTTAGTGGACAACCACCTAAATAGGAGCCAGCAGTGTGCAGCAGCAGCCCAAAAAGCTAATGCAACCCTAAGTTGCATTAGCAGAGGGATACAATCGAGATCAAGTGAGGTACTACTGGTAGTACCACTCTGTAAAGCCTTAATAAGGCCACACCTGGACTACTGCATCCAGTTTTGGTCAACACACTATAAAAAAGATGTCGAGACACTAGGAAAAGTATAGAGAAGAGCAACCAGGATGATTAGGAGATTGGAGACTAAAACATATGAAGAACAGTTACAGGAACTGGGCATGGCTAGTGTAGTGAAGAGAAGGACCAGGGGAGACAGGATAGCATCTTCCAATATTTGAGGGGCTGCCCCAGAGACTAGGAGGGGGTCAAGCTATTCTCCAAGGCACCTGAAGGCCAGACAAAGAACAATGGATGGAAACTGAACCAGAAGAGATTTAACCTGGAAATAAGGAGGAATTTTCTGACAGTGAGAACAATCAACCAACGGAACAGAAGTTGCCTTCAAAAATTGTAGGAGCTTCATCACTGGAGGCTTTCAAGAAGAGACTGGATTCCCATCTGTCCGAAATGGTGTAGGGTTTCCTGCTTGGGCGTGGGGTTGGACTAGATGACCTATAAGGTCTCTTCCAACTCTGATTATCTTTATCTGCTTTGGTGTCTTAAATAGGGCACCTGGTTCCGAAGCCCAGAGAGTCCAGTCTTCTGGGAAATGCTCTGAGCCACTGGGTGTTGCTGGACTACAACTCCCTTAGTCTCTTCCTCTTATGCAGCAGGCTGTAGGTGCTGGGAACCGTAGTTGGCAGGCTACAATCAAAGCCTCTTTTAGAATAGAATTATTTACTGGCCAAGTGTGATTAGTGCGTAAGCTCTCAGTTTCATAAGATACAACACTTAGTGATAGTCATAGGATATTAAATAAGCAATCAAATCATACTAGTAAACTAAATAAAACAATATAAATTGTAAAGATACAAGCAACAAGGTTACAGCTATAAGACTTAATACATTAATTAGCTTTGCGTGGCTCTTTGCGACACTCTTAGCTTAGCAAAGAGCCGTGGAAATATCCATGCTGGGTGTCACAAGACAAGATAGAAAGACCTGCGTGTGGATTAGAGAACAAATTAAAACATACGACACCATGGAAGAGAATTAAAGAATGGAAATTGAAAGGGGCTGGTCGCATAGCAAGAAGAACGGATGGCAGGTGGATCAAGGCAGTGTAGAAGGGATCCCATGTGATCAAGAGTCCACGAAACAGACCCCAAACAAGATGGATTGATGACATCGGCAAGTATGGTGTGTCCAATTGGCCAAAGGAAGATTGGGACCGTACGAGTTGGAAACATGCGGAACAGGCCTTCATCCTGGAGTAGATAGACAGTGGTGAAGGAGGAGGAGGAGGAGGAGGAGGAGAAGGAAGAAGAAGAAGAAGAAGAGAAGAAGAAGGAAGAAGAAAGAAAGAGGAAGAGGAGGAGGAGGAGGAAGAAGAAAGAAGAAGGAAGAAGAAAGAAAGAGGAGGAGGAAGAGGAAGAAGGGAAGGAGGAGGAGGAGGAGGAGGAAGAAGAAGAAAGAAGAAGGAATAAATAATTATTAATTATAAGCTGAAGCTGCTCTAACAGAAGGAAACGATTCCAGTGTCTGGCACCAAATATGCTTTGGGCTTGAGGAAAGTTTGCAGAAGACAGAGGCACGTCTCACTTGGCATGCAAGAACTGGAGTAGCCTGCTTTGAAGTCTTTTCAAGTCCTTTTTTCCCTGCTTTCCTCTTAAAATTAGCAGCTTGCACAGCACATCAAGTAACAGATCAAGGCTGAGAGGAAGCCTCTGGGGAGCCACCGCCCAATGAGATAAGGAGACCATTACGCTTATTCCTTTATTCACACTTTTATTTGGCGTTGATGCCTAATGGCCGATGTCTTTCCAGCAGAAGGGAAGCTCTTACGGTAGACCTGTCTCAACCCTCAACCGCTTTGAGACATGCGGACTTCAACTCCCAGAATTCCCCAGCCAACGGTGTTCCCATTTTCAGTTTAATTTTTTGTCATTCCCGCCTGGTGTTCCCCACTTTGGCATCCTTTAAAGAAATTCTGTTCCACCGTTTCTTTGATATGGATGTAACTTTTGTCCCGCGGTGAGTTGGCTGCGGTGACTCCATGCCAGGTTCCTTCGGTTAAGCAAAGCCATTTAAGCCATTTAGCAGGGCCCTGGAAACACACCTCCCCTGTTGCAGAACCAGCCTTGAGATCTGGGTACACACACACACATCCTACGGGTGTTTGGGGGAGCTTTTGAAGAGCTGGCACTTCGCCCAGGCCTTTAAAGAGGGGCAGATCTTTATAGATAATCAGAGTTGGAAAGGACCTTGTAGGTCATCAAGTCCAGTGGTCACCAACCAGTGGGCAGAGGACCACTGGTGGTCCATGAGAAAATGTTGGTGGTCCGCAGAGAAATGTCAACCCCAAAGCAATTAATCCAGGCTGCGCGGGAACACAAGGCTTGCGTCGCTTGCATTGCGAACAACAGGAGGTAGTGAGGAGAGGGGGCAAAGGGCCGGGGGGGGGGACTTGCCCCCCTTGCCCCACATGCCTCGCCTGGCCACTGGGCTGCTTCTTTCTGCTTCTTTCTTCTTCTGCTTTTGGCTGCACGCAAGGAAAGCAGCCAAAGTCTTTCTTTCTCTCCCCCAAACTCCGCCAGAAATGAGTCTTTGGGACCTTGCAAGGCCTCCTGCTCCAAGAGGCTGCACCGGCAAAGACTCATTTCTGGGGGGGTTTGCGGGGAGAGAAAGAAATACTTTTGCTGCTTCTGCTGCTTTCCTTGCATGGGGCCAAAAGTCTCTCTCTCTCTCCCCTCCCCCCCGAGAATGGGGCTGGAGACGGTATCCTGTGATTTTTTTGGGATTTTCCCAGAGTCTCTGCTGCTTTCTGCAGAGACCCTGGGGAAAAAACATCAGCAAGCCGCCGTCAGTCAAAATTCATAGTCGTGGTCTGTGGGATTTAAAATTATGAGTGTGGTAAAATCCCCGAGGTCCAAAAGGTTGGCGACCCCTGATCTAGTCCAACCCCCCCCCCACACACACACACCTAGGCAGGAGACCCTGCGCCATTTCTGACAAATGGCTTCAGTCACCGAAGTCCCTTTTCTTTACAATTGAACATTGGTATTGAGTTACAAAATATTGCAAAATGCAACGTACCAAAGTCAATGGAGAAACAGTGGGGGGGGGGGGGGGGGGGGGGGGGGGGAAGAAGGGAGGAGAGAAGTGAGGAAAGATAAGAAAAAAGAAAGGAAGAAAAAGCGGCATTGACTTTAAACTCTCTCCATTGTAGTGAAATAAGGCATTAACATCAAATCACAGCTTTTTTGCTTTCTCATCATCATCTGAACAAGTCATTTCTGTAAAGATCTATCTATCTTGGTAAGACCCAAAGTCAGAAAAAGTTTCATTCTTTTCCACATCAAGCACGAGGCTTTCCTCTGTTATTGCTGTGTTGCTTTTTAACCGCTTTCCTATTTTCTTGGGAACGGCCCTGGGGCACTTGAATAAAAGAAGCAAATAAAACATTAAATTATTATTTTTTTCATTTCTGCAACCTGGCAAAAAAATCTAGAGATAGATCACTCCTGAACATTGAGGTTAATAAATGGCATGCCTTTGGAAACCGCACAGCACAAAATGTTGCAGCAATGAGCAGCTTAAATTAAGTACGTATTTATGGATCTCAGTGTGTGCTTCCGTGTGCTTCTGCGGGATTAAGTTAAGCCGAGATAGAGAAAGCAGCATCAGCATAGATGCAGGTACCAAAGAGCCAGGAAATCAGCCAAGTCTTGAAATTCAGGACATGTTTGACCAACATTGCATCCAGTTTTTGATCACTGCATGTCAAAAAAAAAAAGAGGTTGAGACTTTGGAAAAAGTGCAAAGAAAAGCAACTAAAAGGATTAAAGGCCTGGAGATTAAAACGGTTGCAAGAATTGGGTTTGGCCAGTCTAGAGAAAAGACGGACTAGTGGAGACAGGATAGCAGTAGTCCCGTATTTGAGGGGCTGCCACAGAGAAAAGGGGGTCAACTTATTTTCCAAAGCACCAGAAAGCAAGAAACAACAGATGGAAACTGATCCAGGAGAGAAGCAAACTTGGGATTGAGAAGAAACTTCCTAATAGTGAGGACAATCAACCAGTGGAACAGCTGGCCACCAGAAGTTGTGGGTGCTTCATCCCTGGAGGTTTTCAAGAAGAGACTGGACAGCCATTTGAAATGGTATAGGGTCTGCCGCTTATGCAGGGGGTTAGACTAGAAGACCTCCAAGGTCCCTTCCAGCTGTATTGTGATGGATTGATTGGGGTTTTTTTTTTTTTTGCTAGTCCTCCTCAATCTAATTTTCATTGCGGGATTGTTGTGACAGCGCTAACAAGCTGCATCTAAATCAGAGCTTGGGATGGGTTGGCAAAACAACAAAGACAAACCTAGGTTGCATCAGCAGAAATAGAAAGTCCTGATTCCACGAAAGGCATCACGCAACCCTATTTCTCCGGGCTCGACTTCACAAGCGGCCTCCTTTCGGGTGGGTCTTTGTCCGAGAAGATCAGATCAAGACGATACGATTCATTCTAGGAGGAGAATTAGAAGATGCTGGATGGGTCAAAAAAGTCAGGGAAGTGGCCACCTGAATCCCTCCCTCCTGTTGAAAAGAGAGCAGGCCTAGACAGCTAGATTTTGACTGACCGCCACAGTTTGTCAGCCACCACCAGATGGACTCGCAACTGGCTGACAAACCGTACTCAACGAGTAGTCCTCAATGGGTCTAAGTCTACATGGAGGGAAGTAAGCAGTGGGGTGACACAAGTTTCCGTCTTAGGCCCTAAGACTCTTCAATATCTTCATTAACGACTTAGATGAGGGAGTAGAAGGGGAACTTACCAAATTTGCAGATGATACTAAGCTGGCAGGAATAGCCAACACCCAAGAAGATAGGCTCAAGATCCAGATGGATCTTGACAGACTAGAACCCTGGGCCATATCTAACAAAATGAAATTCAATGTAGAGAAAAGTAAAGTCCTACACTTAGGCAAGAAAAACCAAAAGTACACATATGGACTAGGTGAAACCAGGCTTAACAGCAATAACTGTGAGAGGGATCTTGGAGTCTTTGTGGACAGCCAGCTAAATAAGAGCCAGCCGTGTGCAGCAGCAGCCAAAAAAGCCAATGCAATCCTAAGTTGCTTTAACAGAGGGATACAATCAAGATCAAGGGAGGTACTACTGGTAATACCACTCTGTAAAGCCTTAGTAAGGCCACATCTGGAGTTCTGCATCCAGTTTTGCTCACCGCACTATAAAAAAGATGTTGAGACTCTAGAAAAAGTACAGAGAAGAGCAACCAGGATGATGAGGGGACTGGAGGCTAAAAACATACCATGAACGGTTGCAGGAACTGGGCTTGGCTAGTCTAGTAAAGAGAAGGACCAGGGGAGACACGAGAGCAGTTTTCAAATATTTGAGGGGCTGCGAGAGACAAGAGGAGGGGGTCAAGCTATTTTCCAAGGCCAGAGAAGGAATAATGGATGGAAACTGAACCAGGAGAGATTTAACCTGGAAATAAGGAGAAACTTTCTGATAGTGAGAACAATCAACCGATGGAACAAAAGTTGCCTTCAGAAGTTGTGGGAGCTTCTTCCCTGGAGGCTTCCAAGAAGAGCCTGGACTGCCATCTGTCAGAAATGGTGTAGGGTCTCCTGCTTGGATGGGGTTTGGACTAGATGACCTACAAGGTCCCTTCCAACTCTGATCATCTGTTATCTGAGCCCCAAATTTCCATTGTTAAGGGAGACATTTGTGAAACAAAGTTTTGCCTCATTATATGTCCTTTCTCGCCTCGTTGTTCTCATTGTTAAGCGAATCACTGCCACTGATAAATTAGTAAGTTCATGTAACCGGTTATATATTATAGACAATAATATATATATATATATAGATGAACACAATACGGAAGCCTCATGATGGCGGATGAGATTCTGCGGAAACGTTACTACAACTTTAAAAGCTGGGAAAATACCTGAACAAAGCTGAATACCATATCTGTGAGTCAGACTGTGAGTCAGACGAACACAATACCTGATGATGGCAGATGAGATTCTGCCGAAACGTTGCTACAACTTTAAAAGCACAACTAGAATGATGTGGGAAAATACCCGAACAAAGCCGAATACCATATATATGTGTGTGTGTGTGTGTGTGTGTATATATATATATATACACACTGTATCTCTTCCTCTTGCGGTGTTTCTCCAGTTCCCCAATATTGTGCGAAGGTACTCCTCACTGCTGTCAAAACATGCCATGCTAAATACATACTTCTCTTATCAATTTTTTTCTGATATCATCCCTAATAAAATAAAATAACAGTTCAGGTTTGAAATCTACATGTTGTTTCCCCTGTTATCTTTCCTAACCACCTGTGCCTTTTTGCCCAACATTGTTTCGCTTTAGCACAACTCCACCACATGTGATAAAATGTGCCCGTCTTTGGATTCCCTTTCCCACATTTGCTAGACCTATTTTTAAACATTTTAGCTAACCTAGCAGGTGGCAAATGCCATCTATAAAGCCTTTCATATAAGTGTCCTTCATAAGAAGTTGCCATTGTTAATCTGTAGTTCCTTTCCCGTACATTTTGCCAGAATGTTCTGTTCTGTTCTGTTCTGTTCTCAAACAGGCTTCATTCAGACAGAGACAGGTGCTTTCCTGGAAAAAGCAGGATTCCCACCTTGACCTCATCATCAGATGCCTCGGAGCCAATCGGCAGGCTCCCTCTTGGCTTCTTGCTGCCTTTTCACCTCCCCAACCCGCCCCGCCGGGTTTTTGCCTTACCTGGGCAGATCCCATCAGGTGATGAGTGAGTCATCCCAGCCTTTCCCAGCCGGAAATGAAGAAAGCACCTGGAGGAAGAGAAAGCAGGCTCTGGGCCAGCAGCCTGAGAGGACTTTCCAAGGCAGCCTCCAATCCTGCCCCCTCCCCCACACACACACGCACAAGCAAGCCGGTGGTGTTCCTCTACAGGTAAGTCCTTGACTTACGACCGCAATCGAGGCCAGGAATTTATGCTGCGAAGTGAGATATTTGCAAAGCGTCCCATTTGATGATTCGCCTTGGCCCCGTTTGTGTTAAGGGAATACCTGTTAAATGTTGTTAAATGAGTCACACGGTCGTGAAGTGAACCTGGCTTTCCCCCGTCGGCTTTGCTGGTCACAAAAGGGGGGGGTCAGGTGACCTTGCGAATGTCTGTCTATCTATGTATGTATCTATGTATGTATCGATCTAAAAGCGAAATGCCACTCACACTCATCACGAAATCTCCAGAACTGTACAAAAAGAAATATTTTATGAGTTGACAGGTACTCTGTTTCTTTTTTCTCTTTAGATAATCAGAGTTGGAAGGGACCTTGTAGGTCATCTAGTTTAACTCCCCCCAACCGTAAAGCCTACAAACTTGAAATTTGTCACGTATCTTCCTCTTGGCTTCTAGGTGCTCACTAAGAAAGGATTTTTCGAAATGACCATCAGAGCATTTAGTATTTCCTATATTATTATTATTATTATTATTATTATTATTTTTAATTATTATTATTATTATTATTATTATTATTATTATTATTATTATTAACACGCTCTGATGCTAAGGAGTTCTACTCCCCTCCCCACCTGAAAAGAAATCTCTTTCCAAATGCAAAACACAAGCGAAGGAGTTTCAGTTTCAGATTCACAGCAGCAAGCAGCTTTAGTATGGAACAGTTGAGCTAAGCCACGCCCAGGCTCCTTGCTGTCTCCTTCTTGCTCACACAGTAAATACTGTTTCAGTTTCCAAACAGCCCTCAACTGTCTCACACACCGACCGGACACTAGCCAGATGAATACCGATGGATGCTGGTAGGCAGAAGCAGAATCCCCCCCCCTTATTTCCCTCCCCCAAAACAGCCCAACCACATAGTTTTGTAGCGAAGCACCGGTATAGAGCTTATATGCCGTTGTCACTTTAAACGGTCATTCAATGAATCGCTGTAAGTCTTGGACTACCTGTATTTACACGAGAGACTAAGCAAGAAACACCCGTAGTTAGCGCACCTGCTTAGGAGTTGCTGGGAGAAACTATTTCGAAGGAGAGAGTTATGCCATACATGCTTTCCAACCTTGGCAACTTTTAAGACTTGTGGACTTCAACTCCCAGAATCCCCCAGCCAGCTTTGCTTTGACTTTTGTTCACCTTTTTTTGGTTGGGTGGGGGGGAAAAGACATTTCTCTTCTCATCCCAGTTGAAATTCTAAAATGGATAAGAGTTGAGGGATAGATACAGAATCGGTCTTCATATGGTGTCTGTTTCATTAAGGGCTGGGGGAAAAAAGGCAGAATGTAGAAATTGGGAAAACGGTATTACATATACTGATATATGATAGAATATATTATAATTACCATGGATACGTATATGTTAAAAGTTGAAAGATTCTGATTATGTATACCTAAACAATATTATTATTGTTATTAGTATTGTGTATAAAGTACATCGACCCAGACAGTACATTGTTCACAAAGCACTAATGGATGATAGAGATAGATAGTTTTATTTAAAGTTTTTTTATCTGTCTATCTATCTATCTATCTATCTATCTTATCTATCTATCTGATATATATATATTAATATTTTATTATATATTATTATAATATATTAAATTATGTTATATATTATATAATTTTATTTGAAGTTTTTTCTTTATCATCCATAAGTGATAAGTGATAGAGAAAAAACTTTAAATAAAATTATATATATATATATAAATATAATATAACCTAATATATAAGATAAGGTAAGATAAGGTAAGATAAGATAATTATAATATAATATATATTATGTAATATAATGTAATATAATATAAGGTAAGGTAAGGTAAGATAAGATAAGATAATTATAATATAATATATATTATATAATACAATACAATACAATACAATACAATACATTACATTACATTACATTACATTACATTAAATAATGTCTGTCTATATGAAAGTCCGGTTGCTTTTTAAAAAGTGCAACGCAGACTGAGAGGCACCGTCGAGGCTAAGCCGGCAGGTAAGCCGGCGTGGGAACCCGAGGGGGCGTGGCTCCGCGGGTGGTGCTGTCGGCGCCGTCCAATCCCAGGCCGGCTGGCGGGACGAGCCCACCCCTGGGCTTTTTTTTTTTTTTTTTTAAAGCCGCCCTGCCGCACGCGCTTCATTCATTCCATTCCATTCCTTCCTTCCTTCCTTCTTTCGTCGGGACGCGCTGGCCATGGTTGGCTTTGCGCGCTTGGTGCTGCTGGCCCTGGGCTTCGCGAAGCTGCCTTGCGCCCGCGGCTCCTGGACCGAAGCCAACACGGGCTGCGCCACCAGGGCCACCGGGGGCCGCTCCGGGCTGCTGAGCTTCCTCTGGCTGCGCCCCGACGGCTCCCCCGCCACCGTCCTGGTGCAGAGCCTGTGGGATCTGCGCAGCGGGCAGCTGCTGGAGTGCGCCCTGCGGACGGAGCCCGACGTGACCCGCCGCTACTTGGAGCTCTGCGGACCCGGAGGGCTCCGCCACCCCTTGGCCCGCGCCTCCTGGGACCCGCGGCTGCGGAGAGAGCTGGACGCCTTGGAAGCGCGCAAGGGAGCCTGCAAGGGAACGCCGGCCCGCCGCGCAGCTGCGGCGGCGGCGGCGGGAGGAAAGCGGGAAGGGGAAGCGCGGCCGCGGAGCCGTCGGGGCTTGACGTTTCCCGGGACGCTTTGGTGCGGAGCCGGGGCCACGGCTGAGATGCCCTCGGAGCTGGGTAAAAGGGGAAGGGAAGGGAAGGGTCGGGGGGGTGGCAAGGCCCACGGGAAAGAAACCGGCCTCCTACGCCCCCAGCCACCCGCTCGGGCCCAAATCCCCCGAGGGTCCCCAGTTTTTGTGGCTTTAAAAATAAAATAAAATCCGGGCGCTTTGCTGACTCTTTGCACACACCCACGCGCGGGGGGGGGGGGGGGGGGGAAAAAAACACCCCCAAAAAAAGGGGGGAAATGTGTGAGAGGTTGGGAAGCCAGTCAGCAAACGGTCGGTGGAACGCCTTGCCACTGGTTCAAACCTTGTCAGAGTACAACGTGGGTACAGTGACATTGGCTGAGCCTCCCTTCGGTGAACCTCCCCAACACAACACAACTCACCGGAACTACAGATTACAGAGTTGGAAGGGACCTTGTAGGTCATCTAGTCCAACCCCCAGATGCTGCAGTGGGAAGCCAGACGTGGTTTGGAGTAGTAGTTTTGTCTTGGGGTGGGGTGGGGGGTAGACATATTTCCCCCCCTACATCAGTTTCTGTCTCTCTAGTATACAGGTTAGCGTTTCTTAACCTCAACCACTTTAAGAGTGGTGGAACTTCAGCTCCCAGAATTCCCCAGCCGGCAGACTGAATTATGGGAACGGAAGTCCAAAACCCCTTAAAGCGGCCGAGGCTGAGCAAAAAACTAGGTGTAAAGCCCAGAGCACCCCACTATGATTGGGATATCCCTGATCACGTGACCATGGGCATGCTGTAAAGGTATTTTTAAAGAACAGGGAATCTCCAACTTTGGCAACTTTTAAACCTGGAGGACTTCAACTCCCAGAATTCCCTAGCCAGCAAGAATTCCCCAGCAAACTGGCTGGGGAATTCTGGGAGCTGAAGTCCTCCTGGCTTAAAGTTGCCAAGGTTGGAGACCCCTTTTAGAAGCCTCCCAAGTGGGGTGAAATTCCCAGTGGCCCATTTTTCATCTGATCCCAGTTCCTTCCTTTTCGCAGGGGTTTTCCAGGGCCCGGACGTGTGTTGCCGTGAGCATGACAGTTGTGATGCTCACATCACAGCTCTGGAGTTCAAGTACGGCATGCGTAACTACCGGCTGCACACCATTTCTCACTGCAGCTGCGATAACAGGTGAGTACAGGCTCCTGGGATGCTCGGGGGTGGGTGGGTTTGATTTAGCCTTGCCCAACCTGGCACCTTCCCAATCTGTTGAAGACGTTTCGCTTCTCATCCGAGAAGCTTCTTCAGCTCTGACTTGGCTGGTGGGGAAGGGAAGGATTTCTATTTCTTGCAGACAGCTGGTCATTTGCATCCTTTTAAGTGGGGCGTTGAGGCCACTTGGAGGTTCTCTCTGTGTCCTCAGAGTCCCCTGAGTGAAGCCTTGTTGGAACTGCGGAAAGGACGGTGTTGTAGACTGGAGATAGATGATGCCTTATCCCTTCCCGCTCTGCTGAATTTCAATTTGGACATTGATGGCCTTTTTTTTTTGACCCCGAAAGGCACAGACAAACCTCCAAGGGGCCTCAACACCCCTCTAAAAAGGATGCAAATGACCAGCCGTCTGCAAGGGAGATAAATCCTTCCATTCCATTTCTTAAAGCAGTAATCGTCAAACGAAGTGTCCTCCCTCGGCCTCTCCACAGGTTCAGCGATTGCTTGAGGAACCTCAACGACACCATCTCCAACTTCATCGGGAACAGTTTCTTCAACTTGCTGGAAGTCCCGTGCTTCCAGCTGACAGAGACCGAGGACTGCGTTGAATGGCACTGGTGGGGCGGGTGAGTAAGCCGGGGTGGGGTGGGGGAGGAAGTATATTCTGAGAAAAAGAGACTCCTTGACTTACGACCTCCTTCATGTCACCAAGGCAGATGTTCGCTAAGTGAGGGTAGTTATCGTCCCGTTGTTACGACTTTCCTTGCGGCTGTGAAGTTGGTCATGTGGTGGGGAAACTGAACCTGGCTTCCCCGTGGACTTGGTTTGCGTCAGAAGGTCGCAAAAGGGGATCACGTGACTTCTCTCCCCCTCACCCCACCCCCCGGGGACACTTTTGACCGTCATAAATAGGAACCGGTTGCCAAGCGGCTGAATTTTGATCATGTGACTATTGCGGAGGCTGCGACAGCCATAAGTGTGGAAAAGTCACTTTTTCTCAGTGCCATTGTAATTCTGAACAGTCACTAAATAGAACTGTTGTTAAGGCAAAGGTTGTGTTATATTTCCTTGATTTTTTTCCTGCAAAGTCCTTGATTGACTTCACGATTTTTGCTTTGAGCCTTTTTCCCAGCTTGTGTTCTCTTCCTGGGCTTCCCAAAAGCATGAAGCCGATTCCTCGTCCTGATAAAAACCCCTTTTTGTTTAGGTTAAAGTGAATTCTTCTCATTCGCTTTCCAGCAAAGTCCCGACCAACAGTCTTTCAAGAGATTGCACAACTACGGACCTTTATCAGGCTGGGAGAGTTGCCAGGCCGATATCTCCCAAACGCCACACTGTAGCAGCAATTAACTTGGCAAGGAGTCAGGAACAGATCTTCACCCTCATGAATTGAACTGTCTCCTGCAAAGCCTCACTCCCCTTTCGCTCCTCTTTATTCCTTCTGGGAGGGGCCGTTCAACGTCCATCTGTGCCTTTACTCCCGAGTTGACCCTTGTCCCTTAGTTGTTCCCTTCTCCTGGCAGCTCTGTGCATGCGCACACTGGGAACAGGCTCCAGCTGTTCTTCTTCCCCACAGCATCTTCTCTAGATGTCTCTTCAAAGATGGTACCCCAAACTGGTCCCAGTATTCAAACTAGGGGCAGACCAGTGTAGAACTGAACAGCAGAGTTGCTTCTCACCTTGGGAAATCTTGACGCAGCCTAAAAATCTCTCCACTTTTGTTGCTGCTACATCCTACAGCAGAACTCATACTCAGCTAATTATTATTATTTTTTTTGCTACGATCCAGTTAATATAATTTAACTTGGGATTCTAAGAAGCTTTGATCCGCTAGGATTGTGGGACCCCTTGTATGTACAGGCCAGGTGCTTCATGCTCTACTTATTGGATTCCGTTTCTAACCTTCTATTTCCCAACCTTCATGAGATCTGGAAACACGGGCTTTCCCACCCCCCCACCCCCAATTTCCCAGCCAACACGGCCCTCGGTAAGACTCCGTGGGTTGGAGACGCGCCTGTCAATCTACCCAGATGGTTCTAGATTTGTTCTTTCGTCAAAGCCATCTTCATAGCCAATTGTCTGTTGACTCTCAATCTGTGGTTTTCTCCACCTTCTGCAGGCCATACATTTAAGTTTGGCTTTTTTCCCCCTCCTGCTGCCTTTAAGGCCAAAACGCCTTTTCAAGGACCTGTTAAATCTTGCTTAAAAGGACAATGGAGCTGGGTTTGCACAGCAGACAATTTGCAAGCGGCCCAATCACGATATAGTTCTGTGTCTTGTGGAGGGGAAAAAAAAAAAGAACTTGCCTCTGTGATTAATTTTGGGCTCGGTGCATCGCACAAAAGCAAGACCGGGCCAACTTGCATAACCCAGGTAAAGGTGGCGGAAATGCAAAGACTGAGCAAGGCGCCTGGCTTTCTTCTCCCCTGTGCTAGGTGTAAGAAGTATGGCATGGTGCCGCTGGCTCACTTGGTGGATCCAAGCCCTTATCAGCCCATCGAGAACCCCGAAGCTACCGCTTCTCCTCTCCAGCCTAGTCGGCATCGGAAACCTGGCTCGAAAGGCAACAAAATGCGGAGAAAGAAGGTGGAAAAAACCAGTCCCAAAACTCAAGATCCCATCAGCCCCTCCTTCTCCAAGCTGAATCAAGTCACTCACCTCCCGGGGAGAAGCTCTCCAGGTGAGGAGACTGTGCCAAGGTCACCTGCCCTTCCAACTACGTTGGAGCCTGGTCCCACCAAGATGGAAGGTGAGATTCTCGCCACACGTCACCCGGTCGTCTTTTCTACGGAAGACGCCTCCTCCAACGAGACCTGGCAAGGAAAAAGGCCCTTCGCTGGACCGTCTGCAGGACACGGCCAGGTGTCTAAGCCAAGACCAGGTGAGCCAAGCCGCAGCCTGAGTATTCCTTCTGGGGCCACTTAAATGTGGGAGGGTTTACGAAGGAGCAGGTAAAATATTTGCTTCTTGTCTCCGAGATTGACAAGCGGGGCTCTTTCGAAGCTTTGCTAAAACAGAAAACTTTGGTGTGGGAGGGGTCTCCAACCTTGACAACTTTAAGCCTGGTGGACTTCAACTTCCAGAACTCCCCAGTCAGCAAAGTTTTGGCTTTACTCCTGAGTCGATCCTTGTTTCTTAGCTGTTCCCTTCTCCTGGCAGCTCTGTGCATGTGCACACTGGGAACAGGCTCCGGCTGTTCTTCTTCCCCACTGATCTCTGTCTCCGAAGGCAGCTGATAACTGTCGGACAGTCCTGGCCCCATTTCTGCCTCCGATGCAGAGCCCTCCAGGACTGGCCCATGTTCCTCCCCAAGCTCCTCACTGTCCGGGCCTGCAGGCTGGGGAATTCTGGGAGTTGAAGTCCGCCAGGCTTAAAAGTTGCCAAGATTGGAGAGCCCTCCTTTGGTGTTTTTTTTGGGCTTTATGTGGATAGGCTACGTAGATGTCTAGTGTTAGACAAGGACCTGGGAAGCTCATGTTCAAACCCACACTTTGCTTGGGGGGGGGGTGTCTGTGATTGATTTATTTTGTGATTTTGAAAAGCTTCCCTTGGCCATGCCAACTGGGAATTCCCAAAAGGGCAACTCCTGGGCCGAGCGAAGCTCAGCCTGAAGTGGGTGGGTGGGCTTGCATTGCTGGTTCCCGGCTCCTGACAACCCCCTCCCCCCAATTGGGCTGTTCCTGGCCAGGGTGGGAAGAGCTGGGGAGGGGCTTTGGCGCTGTGAATTCCCCCAACTGAACTGCGGCCTGCTTTTATTTCTTTCTCCAGGCCTGTCGCGGAGATGCCGCTGCTACCAACGGCTGGACCAGTGCCCCTTCCAGATCGGCCCGCACGAGTTCAAGTACCAGCTCCACAATTCAGACGATCGCATGCTTTTCCACTGTAACTGCACCCGCCGGTAAGCGGACCTCCGTTGCCCCCACCCCTCTAGAAGTTGTGGGCGCTCCCAACACGGGAGGTTTTCAAGAAGAGACCGGACGACCATTCATCTGGAATGATGCGGGGTCTCCTTCTGAGCAGGGGGTTGGGCTGGAGGACCTCTAGGGTCCCTTCCAGCTCTTCTCTTATTCTAAAATGTTATGGAGTGTCTCCTGCCTGAGCAGGGGTTGGGCTAGAAGACCTCCGAGGTCCCTTCCAACTCTGTTATTCGGAGGAGCAATCGGTCCGTTTGGATTTAAAGGCCTGCATGAGAACTGAATCCCTCCCCCCTCTTCCCCCCCCCAAAAGCATCAGGCTGTCACTTGTCCCCCAGCAGGATCCCTGCACGGAAAATGTTGGTGCTGGTTTGACCCCTGGCACTTTATCCCAAATTCACACCGATGCAGTGGGCTTCTTGGAATACCAGCTGTGAGTTTCCCAACTCCATTCGAAGCGCCGCCTGCCGCTCCAACATGAGAGTTGTAGTCCTGCTGACTTATTGTGGGGGGGGGGGGGAGAGGAGGGTGACACTAGGCCAGAGGTCCCCAAACTTGGCCACTTTTAAGACTGGTGGACT